ATCTAAATTTGAATCTCACACTGGCTGTAATGATTAATATTAACCAAATTTAATGTACAAATTTCCTATATATATATTACAGGGAAGATTTGGTAAATAAAGCACAAGAAAAACATTACTATTTAACCTTCTTTCCCGCACGTCATATCCTGGCTTTTTATGATTATTTCACGAATAAAGATGATCCCAATAACGTAGGACAGATTCTTAACAATGAAGAATGCCGTACACTTATACGATTTGTTAATAGTGAGGCTAAGTTGCCACCACGTTCTGCAGAATTTATTATCTCAAGTGAAGATCAAAATTATTATCAAATTCTTTGCCAAATTGGAACTAAATTACAAAACATTTTTGAAAGTGTTCCTAAAAAAAGGCGTGATGTTATAGATAAGGGTGGGCGCATTATGTCAGATGTTGTGTATCAAGGAAAGTTGTTCGTTGCTGCCTGCAGTGATAAAAATCTTGTTCCAAATATTATCATGAGTTTATATGTTAATCACGGGTAAGTTGCGCGTCAAGATTTGTCGATCATTTTGCTTTGGTTGATTGAACCAATTCCAACTAGAATTTATGCTATAATTTATTATAAAATATGTCAGAGGAATCCTTTTCATATTAGAGCATGAAAAGTCAGAAAAAAACTTTGTTACGACTTTGTCGATCACGATCGACAAAGCCTATTACAGATTTCTTTTTTTGGTTCATCTCTGGCATTCAGCTGAGAATTATCGCCAACATTTTAATGTTGATTTTATTTTTGTTTTATCATTAGGACATATCCTCAACCGTGGCAGTTACTAATATGTACTACTTCTACAACCATGGAAGAACTCTCAATTTTTATCAAGCGATGCTTCTTTGCCGCTAGCAATGGGTACGATGGATACTTGTTCTGTATTGCAAACCTAGAATTACTTGACTTTGAGCTGCAGTATAATCTTGTTAACAACATCCGATCAATGCGCAAAGAACAAACCAATTATCATTTAGCGCTTATCTGTTGTCGTGAAACTGGAATGCATCATCATATTTTGGATCAATTTTCACAGGAGGTTTACGCGACAAATGGACTTGGAATTGAAGCCATGAAGGTGATTTATCGTGAATTACGCCCCGATAATGTTTTGTGTTTGTCATCTGATTTGTCGGGTCAAGGTAAATCCGAGTATATTCGTCAAAGTAGTTTTGCTTGTAAAAAAGTCCCCAGAAGTTTCCTTATTAGCGATGGGGTTGATTTTGGAACACTTGTTCATCAATTCAAGGAATTTAAAGTTCGACCGGTTGAAAGTTTACATATAAACATAGTATCAGCTGATCATCCGGTGGACGTTAATATGTTTTTATTTGAATTGTTGACGTTGGGCGTGGTGTCAAACAATATGGACATAGCTTATCTTCCAGATACCATTGTATTTATCGAAGTTGCATCAACGGTCAACCAGCATTTACTTAAATCTTTACCAATGGTTGAATGTCTTAATAGTAAGCATCTTACGTGGGATATAGGAGAACTCATGGTATCACAGGAAATCAATAGTCCTATGCAAGTTGTATGCCATTACTTACTCGCGTATGATACTAATACGCTTGATAACAAAGACATCGTATTTCAAGTCACAAATAATGACACGCCACTCGTGCCATTATCATCTAAACAATGTCAACCACTTATTGAAAAATATTTATTTAAAAACAAAAAAGATGATATTTCATCATTTAGATTTGTAGAAATTTTTGTAAATGTGTTAGCAGATCAATTGGTTCGGTTGTCCTCGAGCTCATTTTTCGAGTGTGAAAATCTGAAATTAATGATAAAAGATACAAATATAAGAACAACTTTAGTAAATACCTTGATTGATGTTTCTAAGGATTTCGCCACAAGGTCGGTTAAAACAAAGGTAGAGCAGTTAATTTCGACTTCAACTGATGAAAATGCAAGGTTGGGTACAATTGTGCAATGGGATGATTCAAATCATTTATTGGTATTTTTCTTATCACAAACACCCGATTCTATTTGTGCCTTGTACCGAGATAAGGCCAAAGTTCCACAGAATGTAAGAACTTTATTGAAAAGTCAACATATAGGAGACAAGAGTTGGGAACTAGAAGATTATCACAAAATGACCACAAATGAACTTTTAGAGACATTGGAATGTTTGGCAAGAAAAACAATGTATAAAATTGAGTATCCGCCGTATGCTTTATCTGCAGATAATTTGGTAAAGATGGCTTTGATTTTGTTAAGGGCTCGTGCAAATATTCCAGTAGTAATTTGTGGTGAAGCCGGATGTGGAAAGGTAAATATAAATTTATAATTATCAAGAATTAAATTGCTATCGTTAACTTCATAACTAAATTATTTTACGTAGACAAGTTTAATCGGATTCCTGGCCAAAGTTGTGGAAGTCGAATTCCAACCTCTTAATCTTCATGCTGGAGTCACCGAAAGCGCAATTCTAAATTTCATGAACGATGCACAAGACAAAGCTGAGAACGGTGAAATTTGGTTATTTTTGGATGAAATTAATACTTGTAACTACATAGGTCTTCTAGCGGATTTGATAGCTCACAGGACGTTACTCGGTAAACAGATTCATTCTAATATCAGGATTTTTGCGGCATGCAATCCTTATAGAATCCGCACCAAAAGTCAAAGTGTCGTCGGTTTAAAAACCAATAAGAGATATGAAGAACAAAGTAATCTTGTATATCAAGTAAAGCCACTACCTGATCAAATTTTAGATTATGTTTGGGATTATGGCGTGTTGCAACAAGAAGAAGAACGTCGATATATCGAGATTATGGTATCTGATTCTTTAAAAGATTTTGGTCATGAATGTTTAGTATTTGCAGAACTATTATTCGAATCTCAAGCATTCATTCGAGATGTTGAAGAACCTTACAGTGTTAGTTTAAGAGACGTAAAGAGAGCAATTACGCTTGTAAAATTTTTTGCAGAAAGCTTACGAAATCGACCACCTGTTCGTAAGAATGCACCAAGGTATCCACCGATAGGAGAAATTTCGATGTCAACAAGGTGTTATATTCTTGCATTAGGATTATGCTATCAATCTAGATTGTACGAACAATCTCTGAGAAAAAAATATCGAATCGTCATGAGTAAAACGTTTAAGCGCAAAAAAATTAACGTTGATGAGAAGGCATTTAATAAGGTTATAAGACAAGAGCAAGATGATTATATTAATCGGATGACTTGTCCTCCTAATACCGCAAAGAACGAGGCCCTTTTAGAAAATGTTTTAGTAATGATTGTCTGTATCCTAACTAAAATTCCGGTTTTTATTATTGGGGCACCCGGGTAAATAAAGATGATTTATTTGATCATGACACTTATTTGAATTAATATCGATTAATCACAATGATTTACTTGCAGCTCTTCAAAATCTTTGGCTATTCGGCTCGTTAGTCAAAATCTCCGTGGATCCGATTCAAATGATGAATATTTCAGAAAATTGCCCCAGGTATTTATACATACGCACGTTTAATAGCTGAAATTAGTATCCTTGTTCATTATTATTTTAGCTAACATTTCCAACAAAATTTTATGACGTCATATAACTTCCAACAAAAAATTATGACTTAATAGGTCTATCTTATTCCTCATCAAGGTTCATCATCCTCAACTTCAGATGGCATTCTTAAAGTTTTTCAAAAAGCGCAAAATTATCAGGAGACAAGTTCTAAAGAATTTCCTGTAATTAGTGTTGTTTTGCTTGATGAAGTTGGACTGGCCGAAACCAGTCCTTTTAATCCATTGAAAGTACTTCATTCTTTACTTGAACCAAGCTATCCTTCAGAAGGGACGACTGTTTCTGTAATTGGAATTTCTAATTGGAGATTGGACAATAGTAAAAGCAGCAGAGCCTTGTTAGTTCAAAGGTAACCTTTTTTTTGTGCTAACTGATTTACGTGAATTTGTCACATGGTTTATGTGATCGACCGACAATTTATATAATCACAATTAGGCCCAAATTCGACCTAAATGATCTTGTGGATACAGCTGTTCGCCTACTCTCTTCAAAAACGAATGGACAAATCTCCAAAGCGTCTCTTCAACCATTAGCTCAGGCATATTCAGATTATGAGCAACATGGACAATCGTTTCCAAATTTTCACGGCCTTCGTGATTATTATGCTTTAGTCAAAAGTCTTTCTCTAGGTGATATGACAGCTGAAAACATTCAGATGGCTCTTGTCCGTAATTTCGGAGGCACTGACCAAAATGTCACCTTGTGTGAAAAATACTTTGGAGAGGTTCTCAGAACTTTTAATAATTCTAGAAATTGGATTTATAATCCAATTCCTGTTGAGAAGCTTATTAATGCAAATTTGGATGATGAAGGTGCAAGACATCTAATGGTTATTGGAAAGAGCGATTCTATTGTTAATTTGTTAACGTATCAATTGAGAAAAAGAAATTTGGATCCTGTTGTTATTTTGGGGTCACAATTCCCTGACGATCAAGACGATTATTCATATAGTGTTTTGAGTAGGATTATGGTGAGTTTTTTTGATTTATTATTTAAAATTATAAATTTGATTGAAAATTAAATTATGCCTTATTTAAAGATGTGTGTAGAAGCAGGAAGGCCATTGATTTTAACAGACTTGGAAATTATTTATGGAAGTCTTTACGATTTGTGGAATCAAAACTATATTGTTGTTGGTAGCGCCGAAGATCCAAAATATTATACTAGAGTAGCGCTTGGTGCTTATGCAAATCCTATGCTGTAAGTTAGCTAAATCAAATTTCTATAAGTAAGAATATACACTAATGCATGGTTTTTTATTTATAGCTATGTGGCAAAGACCTTTAGATGTATATTGGTACTTGATGAGAAAAAGCTCAAGCATGCTGATCCACCACTTTTAAATAGATTTGAAAAACAAAAGATGACCATTAACGACACACTTTCTAAACATGAGGTTGATCTAGTTCAGCAATTATCAAATTGGGCCATGCAAATGGTTACTGTATTTGGCAAAAACAAATTTGATCCAAATGCTAAATTTTCTCAAAAGGATCTTTTCATTGGGTTCGATCCAGATGAAACCTTACAAAGCTTGGTCATTGATATTAAAAAGAGTAATCCTCATAGCAACGATGACGAGATTCTTGAGAAATGTAAAGAAAATTTAATTGCCATTGCATCTTCCGATGGTATTATTCGAGCAGAGAAATCTATTTTGGATCCAGAAGAAATTACACATTGGAAAAATGTTTACTTTAAAAAACAGCATCATGATAATCTTGCCGATCAAATTCAAGCATTACTTGATAACCTAGATGAGTTTCAAGTAATAATTAACACATTTTCCAACATTAATACAGATGTCAAGGCATGTTTAAAGGGTATAATTAATTGTCAGGTGGATAAACTTTCGACATTCAAAACTGAATCTCAACTTCAAAATAGGATTAAACATTTCTGGTTAGAATCTACTGATCAACTGTTAGTACTTCAATGCGATGTCACTACCGTGAACGCCGGTTGTATCAAATTAGCTAAATTTATTATTGAACAATTTCGAAATGAGTTTTTTGCGAAAAAGGAACAAAAGCCTGACATTAAAGTGCAAAAAAAACACGCATGTATTATTTTACACATTCATCGAGAACAAGAAACATCGTTGGCATCGTTTAATTTCATGTGCGGATGGAACCAAGTCACTATTGAAACTTTGTTGCCACAAGAGAAACCACTTTCAATTCTTTTAAATGGAAGTCTTTGCGATATTATTAATACAACTTACCCATTTGAAGATATTTTAGAACAAGAACTTTTATGGTGTTTGTTATGCATGAAATACCCTTCTAATATTAGATCTGTTGAACATATTAAGTAAGTTCATTGACTATATTCTTTCTAAAGCATCATAAAATGCTAAACTTATTTGATTATTTATAGATGGTTAAATTCAGAGATTTATAACCACCCGAATTTGCTTGAATGTTTAAAAGCTCAAACACAAGAATGGCTTCAGAATCATTCACCTGCAAATTGGCAATACATTGTTGCATCCGACAAGAAGTTATTATATCCTTATGCATCTTTCTCAATCGCCTTACAAGCTCACATTCGTAGATCTGTTCGCAAACCGATTGCTAGAATCCTATGTGCGCTTGAAAGGTTATCAGTAACTAGAACATTCTTTTCTATTGATAAGTCGGCTCGATCAGAAAACGATAATCGACTTCTTGAGTTTTGGATGAAAATGTTCAACGACAAAAAAATAATAGACATTAAAGAGCTACCAGAACCATCTCCTGACAGTTATATGATGCCACCTGGAGTATATGATCTACAATTTCCGTTTTCATACTATTTTATGAAACAAATCGATGGGTTTAAAGCTCTTTATTTAGAAGAAATGACTTTATTGCATGAAGATCCAATGAATATCGATTCAAAAACTGGAGAGCTTAGAAAATCAGTAGAAGAAGAACATATAAAAGAATTCACTAATAAGGTTCTTAACATGGTTCCACTTCTTAAAACATCACCTATTGATTGGGCTTCAATATTATACTTTAAAGATTTCGTAACCGTTATTGCCTATAATGAACCTGGAGATAAGGATCCTGCATTGATTGAACTTATCTTTGAACATAGACTTAGAAATGACAAAATCTTAAATCCCATACTTCTGCATACATGTTGGTGGAAACACGGAGACTCTATTATTTCAGAACTTCGGCTAGCTCAAATGTGTCCAACACTTGTCAAACAACTTCAAAATGAATCACATATCATCTTTGAGCAATTCCTTGTTGAAGGAGCATCGAGAATGATGTTGCAAAAAATTTGTAATGGAGCGCATAGTGGAACAATTCATTATGGTGAAATTATTAATTGGCAACACGATGTTACTCAAATACTTTCACTTAGTAAAAAGATTTCAGGATCTTCAGCTTCAAAGTCTCTTCAACTATTGCAAATTTCTAATGATTTGATTTCCACAAGATCTATAACTCGTTCTACCATTACGCAGATTATTAGCCTTGGACAAAATAATAACTTTGAAGAATTTCTTTCTTGGAAGTTTGTTGACGCGATTTTGGTTATTTTGAATAAACTTGAGAAATCGGAAAAAAATTTGAATTCACAAAGAGCGTTCATTTTGAGATGTCTTGATATTATTCCACCTGAATCTTCTGTTCGACTAGACCTTTACCGCGGATTATTTTCACAAATACCATTCCCACTTATGGGTGCTATCATAAGTAAAATTTTTAAGACAGAAGAAGAAGAAAATAATAATGTTTTCTTCCGTCTGATCCATGAGCCAACAGAAATTTTGACTATTTCACAAAAGCTTAGCGTAATCAATAGTAGTTTGAAAATTACTGATCTTAATTCTGAAATAGCAGCGTTATGTTGTGATATCATCCAACTTGAATTTTTCTGGGAATTTAAGTTGAACCAATTGGCACCTTATTTCCGGAAAGCAGCAAGTGCATTATATAGTTCCGGAGTTCAACCGCTGCAAAGAATTGCATCTATTGCTTTTCTTAAGGAATTTGTTCGAAGATTATGGGACTCTATGATTCCAGAGGGTATCGATCAAGCAATCAAATTTCCTACTGTAGGATTTAATCCATTTAGTGGTCCTGCACTCCTCGAAGATATCAATAGCTCTATGAGTTTAACACATCCATTAATACACTCATTAAAAATTTATTTCCTCCGAGATTTACGTCAGCGTGGGTATGCTATCGACGACGTGAAGAAATTTGGTGAAGTGCAGGCAGAAATGCTGCCATGGTTCAACAGTTTTTCTTGGGATAATGATGATGAAAGTCGGTTACCATTCAACCCTTACTGGTCCGTTCCAGATTACGCTGAAGTTGAAAAGGCATTTTCTAATTTATATAATTTCAACAACAAGGCACCTTTAAATAAATTCCTAGACCGAATTCGGTTGAATGATTCAATTGATGCACGAATAGCAATAATAGGAATTATAGTGTCAAAACTTCATGCTTTTAGAGCTTCACGTAATTTGGTTGATGTAGAGAAGCAAGCAGCAGACTATATTAACCAAGCAATTACTGAAATTAGCGATTTACCTGAAGTTTATAAACAGACAGTAGCTAGACTTTTAATAAACAAATACCCACTATTTCAACTTTCACCTCAAACAAGTAGTTCAGAACTGATTATGAAATCTGTTATTATACATATTATTGGAGTACATGCTTCTTTATCTTCAGATTCATCACCTTTGGCTGCTTATTTACATAAATTGCAAGAGTGTCAAAATCAATATATTTTAGCATGCCCGTCTGATATTGAATCAGTTGTATTCAACGGTAAGCTTTCTTTATTATCTTTATTGATTAAAATAACAACAATTTACTAAAATATTATAACTATTTCAGCAATTGCTTTTGGTGGAGTTACCAGGTAATTAATCAAACTGAAAATGTATTAAAATGATTTGTTGTTAATTTTATGCTGAATATTATTTACGTCCTTAACAGATACGTATGCAAATGTGGATTCAAATATATTATAGCAGACTGTGGAGGAGCCGTCACTCAAAGTAAATGCCCAGAATGCAAAAATACTATTGGTGGTACAAATTATAACGCAGCAGCAGGTAACAGACGATTAGACACTACACCTATTTCCTCGGTGACATCAAACGACCAGGCAGGATATATCTCGGAATCAATCAATAATACATTACAGTACTGTGTTCGTTCTATGTTACCAGTTTCATATCGAATTCTGCATTTGTTCGTTCATGCTATTATTTCGGCATCAGCACCTTCTGTAATTGTCACCGCATTCATCAAGAAAAATAATAATGATGTTAATGACGTCGAGAAATATTGCATGGAACATATCAAGAATGATTGGAATGTTCTTAAGCAAATTCTCGATGTCTCAGATGAAAATTTAGCTCTATTAATTCACCTAATTCTTACCGAAATGGTTAATAATCCACCAACTCAGCATAATCAAATACTTAATACAGCAGCCTCTAGGAACGGATGGGAAAAAATGTTCTCACAGACTTATGTTATTCCAAAAATTCGAAGTGTTACTGAAGCAACCACAAATTTCCGAACTCAACTAGATCAGGCAATTCGAAACGCTCAGGTTACTAGCAATATTCTTGAAGGTGAAATAAATCAAACATTACCAATGGATGAAGGATATTGTCGAGATTATTTGCCGCGGATTTTCCGATCAATTGCAAAAACTAGTTTTGAAAGTTTCAGGGCTTATTATAATAGAGATATTAAATATAATACTCAAGCCTTCCCATTATTAGACATTTACTTTAAGCATTACGAAAAATTACCACATATCAAAAATCTTTACCCAATAGTCAAATTTGTTCAAATGTTGGCGTCACGATTTGAATATCGATTAACAAGAAAAGAAGCTAGCCAATTGACATTTAAAGATTTCATTGAAGGTCAGTCAAGCAATGGTCAATTACAAGAAACATATGAATCTTTATCTTTAGCCTTTAATGACTTTGCCAATGCCTGGAATGAAACAATTGACCATGTGACTAGATATCAATGTCATCCACTTCCAGATGAAAAACCTTATATTGATATTAATAGTAATATAGTGTTTGGGCTGATGGAAGGAAGGGATACTGGCATTTATTTATGTGCAATTCTAGAATATCTGATTACTTTACAAAACAATTTTTTGCAAGAAGTCATGACCATTCCTGGTGGATCATGCCCTTCTCTTAATTTCTTACGAGAGCTTTCCTGGGTAACATATGAAAATGTCTCATCATCTTTCACAAACTCTACACCTGCTTTGGCAATAGAGGCACAAAGTCCTTACTTTATCCAATCCAAAAAGCTCGACACATTAAAAGAAACTAACTTTATCAATTATACGTGGGATAAAAATATTCTTCAATATAGCCAGCATAATCTTGGAATAGGTCGTGGTCGAGATATAATATATGATCTTCAGAAAATAGAAATGGAACTTGCTTATCAACTTGTTGCAGAGAAAGTTCATATAGCTGGTGGAGCTGAACAACAATTATATTTGGAACCATTCACATATTCTATGGAGTTATTCCAAGGATCAATGAGAATCTTGGGAGAGATCAAAGCAATAATTCCTCAAGAACCAATTCCATCTGACAAACTATCTTTAATCATTGGCACGTCCAACAATCCATTTGCACCATATGTATATCAACAGCCATCATTATCTAATTATTTCATTGACAATGCATCAGAACTTTTCTCATTCTTGGAAATCCTTATTTGTTTTATTAAAAGAACATCAATTGGAGATGGGAACTTGTTAATAAAAGACTTTGTAAATCAATGGATGAAACTTTCTATATTGGCAGAAAGTACAGGATTTAAATCATTATTAGGGGTTGATTTACAGCTTAAACATGTAATAGCGTTATATGAATTAGTCGAAGAACAAATAGCAAACATGGCAATTAAATACATACATGAGAAATTCAGAGTTCCGCTTAGACTTTCTATGGAAAATGAAATTATGAATGCAATAGATTTTGATCAAAAATCCACACAACAGCAAAGATTACCTGCTGAGGCATTTACTATAGCACTTAAAAGATTCATGCAAAGATTCTTATCAGTAGAGAATAATAAGAATACGCATCCACTTTATACGTATTTTACGGATATGACATTAAGTTTATGGCCCTCAGATATTGATGAAGAGTTAGTGGAAGAAATGTTTCCAACGTCTTTGCTAGTGGAGCATACCTTTGAGGCCTATAAATTTACCATGTCTAGGATTGAGGTAAATAATTGAAGTATTAACTTCTATTAAATAATATATATTAAATATGAAATTAAAATATTTTATAGGTGTCGATGAAAAAGCAAGTTTCTTCATCATTGAATAGATCAAATACTATTAATTCAGGGTCGGTTCAATCAACATCTGTATCAAATAGAAATTTAGGATCTAGTGGAACTAGCTAAAACTTTCATTCTTCAGAATTAGAATAATTTAAACGGTTATATTTATAAAACACCAAAGATATATCCTTTATTCCGTACAAGTCCATTCTTTTAATCTAAGAAAAAAACATTCTTACTAGTTATTAAATTAGCAATGTCAATCATTAAATAAATTTTCTTTTTACGTTTACAATAATACTATATCTTAAAAGATGTTGAGAATTTCATTTGCAATCCACTTAGTATAAATTGCAACATATATATGTCTGCGGTGCAAATCATCTGTCGTATCAATCTGCACCGCTTAAGGTTATAATTTAATTGACCAACAGTACCTTGTCGAGTATTTTTTTTTAAAAAAAAGCATAAGGATCAACCCGCGGGTTGACGCGTGGCTCGTGGGTTCATAGGAAAACATTCGTATGATTGGTTGATGTAAATCAATTGCCCAGATAACTTATTTATATAGTTTAAAGTACTTTTTAGAAATGTATCGTTTTAATAACAAAAAATCATTGTAAAACCCATTTCTAGCTTCTATATTCACTGTGCAAAATAAAC